TGTCATCTATCATCTTATCTGTATCAATCTATCATCTTTCATTATCTTCTACCTATCTTCTATCTATCTATCTATCTATCTATCTATCTATCTATCTATCTATTTATCTTTTTCATTATCTATAATCTATCATGTCATCTATCATCTTATCTGTATCAATCTATCATCTTTCATTATCTTCTACCTATCTTCTACCTATCTATCTATCTATCTATCTATCTATCTATCTATCTATTTATCTTTTTCATTATCTATAATCTATCATGTCATCTATCATCTTATCTGTATCAATCTATCATCTTTCATTATCTTCTACCTATCTTCTATCTATCTATCTATCTATCTATCTATCTATCTATCTATCTATTTATCTTTTTCATTATCTATAATCTATCATGTCATCTATCATCTTATCTGTATCAATCTATCATCTTTCATTATCTTCTACCTATCTTCTATCTATCTATCTATCTATCTATCTATCTATCTATCTATCTATCTATTTATTTATCTTTTTCATTATCTATAATCTATCATGTCGTCTATCATCTATCTGTATCAATCTATCATTACAGTTGAACGTTCAAGACCCTGCCCCCCACACCCACAAGTCCATCCCATGGTCCAATCTCCCACTGCCACGAAGACAGATTCCTCCCATGCAGATCCGGCCCAGGTGCAGAGACAAAGGATGACCTTGGCTTTCTGAGAAGAATGTTGTTATGGCTACATATCACCCAACTCCATATAATTCCCCCCCCCCTCCCATTTTCCCATACTAGAAAGTGTAAGAAAGTCCAAAAAGAGAAGATGGCTTGAAGGGAATGACACAATTTAACCTGGTAACTGTCTGGAAATCGGCTTACTGGAATATTCAGTTTTCTATATTCATTTTGCAAAGGAGCAAGGAAAACTCCGTTTTTGTTTTTATTTTTGGTCTGAGTTTTTCAGGATATTTTGCTGAAAGCAGAAGCATTAACAATGAAGCGTAGCCTGCAGAGGGCAGCAGAACAATAATAATTGGTCTGTCTGGTTTAGTTTTTCGGTTAGGTGGCCTGTTGCCCTTATTTTCCATTTTAAAAAAAAGCCTATGCTCATTTATTCGTCCACAGGAAATCCTTGACTTACAACAGTTCGCTTAGAGACCGTTCAAAATTATAACGGCACTGAAAAAAGTGACTTAGGGCCGTTTTTCACACTTACAACCTTCGTAGCAGACCCACGATCGGGATCAAAATTCAAATACTAGGTTCATACTTACGACCGTTGCTGTCCCAAGGTCTCTTTGATCCCCTTTTGCAACCTTTTGACAGGCAAAAATTCCACGAGAAAGCCAGGTTCACTTAACAACTGGGCTACTAACTTGAACAACTCCAGCGATTCGCTTAACAACTGTGGCCAGAAACATCGTAATGCAGGGCAAAACTCCCTTAAAACCTGTCTTTGCCTTACAGCCTCAATCGAGCTCAGAATTTCTGTTGCTAAATGAGACAGCTGCTCAGTGAATTTGGAACTATTTTACAACATTTCTGGCCACAGTTGTTAAGTGAATCGTTGCATTTATTAAGCTAGTCACATGGTTGTTAAGTGAATCTGGCTTCCCCGTTGATTTTGCTCGTCAGAAGGTTGCAAAAGGGGATCATGTGACCCACAGACAGGACACTGCGATCGTCGTAAATCCAAGTCACTTGCCGAGGGTACGAATTTTGATCACATGAACCGCGGTCGTAAGTGTGCAAAACGATCATCAGTCACTTTTTTACAGTGCTGTTATAACTTTGAACGGTCACTAAACAAATCATTGTAATTCGTGGACTGCCTGTCTTTTGTTCGGAAGGCAGCTGCCATAATTCCCAGCCAGCTTGCCCCTTTTCTGGGGAACCATCATCTCCACTTTACGACTGGGCTGATGGGAGCTGTCACCAACCACATCCGGATAGAGAAGAGATCTCCAATGTCTCTGGCTTTTCTCTCTTGGGTCTTTCAGCTCTCTCTTTTCTTCCCAGGGCCGGTGGGAATGGCCGCCGCCGCCGCCGTGGCCACCGGTAAAAAAAGGAAGCGGCCTCACGTTTTTGAGTCCAACCCATCCATCCGCAAGAGGCAGCAGACGCGGTTGTTACGGTAAGAGCTCTTGCCCCCCCACCCCGTCTCTGGCCAGCGTGTCCCAGGATTCCCAGCTGGGGGGAGGGGAGGGCAGCATGGGGCCTTCCGGTTGAGTACCAAGTGATAGACTTAAAGAGCGGGGGGTGTATCCCCCTTTCCTGCCAGATTCCGATGGCGCTTCCTCTAACGTAGCTTTGCCCAAGGAATAAGGGGTTTGAGCTGTATGGCCTGGAGCAGGGCAGCTGGCCTGTGAGCCCGTCGAGACGCCAGCCCTAGAAGGTAGACCAAGCTAAGGAAACGATAGCATGGAGGTCAATAGCTCCTTTATTGGGAGGGGAAGTCTGTAGGGGATTCCCTGTCTTTCGTGCTATCTTATTTATCTGCCCATCCATCCATCCACCCTCCATCTCTCTCCCTCCCTCTCTCTCTTATCTGTCTCTCATCTATCCCCCCATCCACATCCAGCCAGTGTATCTAATTGTCTGTCTGTCTGTCTGTCTGTCTATCTATCTATATCTATATCTATCTATCTATCATCTATCTATCTATCTATCTATCTATCTATCTATCTATCTATCTATTAATCTATCTATCCCATATCTATATCATCCATCTATCTATCATCTATCTGTCTGTCTATCTATCTATCCCATATCTATATCATCCATCTATTTTATTTATCTATTTATCTATCTGTCTGTCTATCTATCTATCTATCTATCTATCTATCTATCTATCTATCTATCTATCTATCTATCTACTAATCTATCTATCCCATATCTATATCATCCATCTATCTATCATCTATCTGTCTGTCTATCTATCTATCCCATATCTATATCATCCATCTATCTATCATCTATCTGTCTGTCTATCTATCTA